AAGACCCCTATTTATAGTTGTGGAAGGGAGGAATCATGATAAGAACAAACTCTTTCCGACTAATCAAATTGAAGTGTGGCATGACCGCATTTGATTGGCCAGAACATGTCATTTGCACACGTGGCATGATTTCATTGGCCTTTTAATGTGACTTGGCATGCCTTGTCATTTTGATACGTGGCATGATCCTATTGGATCTTCCGCTTGACTTGGCGTGTCACGTCCGCGTGGCACTAAAAAGGGCCTCTAGGAAGATGATCCTTGGGCCTAATGAAGTGGGTTCATCACTTTAGCCCAATTAAATGGGCTAGCCCAATAAATTTGGACCTATTTATTTAACCCATATATATTGGACTTATATAACTAATTCAATCATATTAGCCCGTAATATTTATTTGGGATAAAATACATTTAATTGAGATTAAATCCAAATTTTATTATGGATTTAAATTCAATAAAATTTTAATTGTCTACAATTTTAATTAATCAGTATTACATTAGTGAAAATAAGTAAGATCAATTCTACAAAATAAATTAAATTAGAGTCTAATTTAGGATTTTATTTAGTTTGTTCATGATTTTTTTTGATTAATGAAATTAGAATTTCTAAAACAAAGAAAAGGAAAGTGCAAGAATGCTTTAATCATTTTTATTTTTGGTTAATTAGTTAGTGTTTTTGATCCACATGTCTATTAGTTTAATATTAGGAAAAATTCAAAATTGGCTAATTGTGCAAAATAAATTGGATTTATTTTGGAATTTGGCTAAGTTAAAAGGTCACCCTTTGTTGCTCTTGTAATTGGGCCAAACAAGCCAAATAGCCCAAATTCCTCTCACTATCTCACCCAACTCCAACCTCAAACCCGTTAAAAATCCGGTCCACCTTTCCCAATAAGTTAAACGACCCCGTTTTGATTAGAAGCAACCCTATCCGTTGTTCTCCACAGATCCAACGGCTCTTAACTGATCTCCCATTTCCTTATTACTGTCTTAAACACCCCCATACCCCCAAAACCCTAGAGACAACATCAGTCGTCTCCCTCACCTCTCTCTCTCTCTCTCTCTCTCACCTCCGTCGCCGCCACCCACCGGAAATCTCCTACGACGACAACACTGCTCCAACCCCACCCAAAATCATATTCCTATACTCCTTATCCTCCCCTCTCCTCAAACTCCATAACCATTTCCCCAAAATCCCCACTAAATTCGGCCAGTTTCAAATCTAAGAAAATCATAAACCTAAATATGATTTTCTCTGGATATTTCAAGCATGTTTTGGTTCAAACTTACATGAGTCGATTGCTCTTGACACGAGCAATCGATTCATGTTAGTTTGGTTCATTTTAAAACTCGCCGAATTCCGGCCAAGTCACCACTGACCGACCAAGCTTCGTCACCATCATTGTTCGTTGATTCGCCTCGTTTGTCCACTCATTTCCGGCCAAATCAATATATTTTCCTTTTCCGTTTTCTTGTTTCTTTTTCTGTTTTGTGATCACTAGTTAGGTGTTAATTATTAATTTGATTAGTTCAATTAAAGTAAGAATATTTAAGTTAATTGCATGATTGTTAGTTTAATTGCATGTGTTGAATCAATTTTAATTAGTTCAATAATCTAGTTAGGTTTACTAAGTAATTTGTTTCTGTTTCATTTTGTCACGACCCAAAATCCACTAAGAATCGTGATGGCGCTGGACACCATCGTCAGGCAAGCCAACACCAAATAACTAGTAATTTTGCAATTTTAGATATTTCTGAAATCACTTCTTTTATACATTTAGACAATAAATAATAAATCCCACTGAATAAATAATGATACCTTTAACAATTTTAAAATACTAAGTAATCCCATAGACATTCCAGAACCCGGTGTCACATGTGCATGAGCAATTCCTAGGAAATAATATAGTACAATAATTGTCTAGAATACAAATAGGACAGTAGAGAAAATACAATACAGTGAAAGAGACTATGCTGGCTGCGAGTCGCCTCGAGAGATGCAGCTCACCTAAGTCTTTGTATCATCCATGCTGCTACGCCCATTAGGCCGCTAGAAGTACATGTTCCTGTGCAACAAAAATGCACAGCAAGTGTAGCATGAGTACAAAAATAACGTGTACTCAGTAAGTATCCCGCCTAATCTCGAAAAAGTAGAGACGAGAAGTCGACTTTGACTCTTACTAGTGGTCCAATAATGATACACCAATAATGTAATAAATCAAAGATTTTTTTAAATAAACATGATTGTAACTCAATAGAATGAAGCAAGTAAACAATTCTTTCTTTGATATGAAATTCCCAAATTTCTTTTTATTACTTATACATGTATCTCAGGCCAGGAAGAACAAATATCAATATTTAAAATCTCTAAGGCAAATATTACAAGCATGCGCAAATCATGTCGAGGGCGTACGACCCGATCCAATAATATTTAAATTGTGCACTGCCAGAGAGTCGAATGACGCGAATCATAGATGCATACAACAACAACAACAATCCAGTATAATCCCACAAGTGGTGTCTGGGGAGGGTAATATGTACGCAGACCTTACCCCTACCCCGAGGGGCAGAGAGGCTGTTTCCAGGAGACCCACGACTCAAGACATCAACAAGAGACGATACATTAGTATTATCAATAGATTCATACTAAAATAACATAAAATACATAACATAACATAAAATAACAAAATAACAGCAATATAAGAAATATAGGAAATACGAAAAAGATGGAAGGTATACTAATATCCAACAGATACATCCCTATATCAGTAGTTGATCAGTAGCATCCTAAGATTAACTCCTAACTGGCTAATCTCACTCTAGTGTGCTGTAGAAATATCTACAACTTCCCCCTATCCTACAACTTTAATGGTCGACCTCCACAATTCCCTGTCAAGGGTCATGTCCTCAGTAATCCTAAAACGCGCCATGTCCTGCCTGATCATCTCTTCCCAATACTTCTTAGGTCTCCCTCTACCTCTCCTCGTGCCCACCACAGCCAGTCGCTCACACCTTCTCACCGGTGCAGCAGTGCTCCTCCTCTGAATGTGCCCGAACCATCTGAGTCTTGCTTCCTACATCTTGTCCTCCATGGGGGCCACATCCACTTTCTCTCGAATATCTCCATTCCTAATCTTATCCATCCTTGTATGCCTGCACATCCACCTCAACATCCTCATCTCTGCTACTTTCATCTTCTGGATGTGTGAGTTCTTAACCGGCTAACACTCGGTCCCATACAACATGGAAGGCCTAACCACTGCTTTATAAAACTTATCTTTTAGTAACGGTGGCGCTTTCTCATCACACAGGACTCCCGTCGCCAACCTCCACTTCATCCACCCCACCCCTATACGGTGTATGACATCCTCATCGATCTCCCTGATCCCCTGAATAACTGACCCAAGGTACTTGAAACTACCCCTCTTAGGAATGANTCGATCTCCCCGATCCCCTGAATAACTGACCCAAGGTACTTGAAACTACCCCTCTTAGGGATGACTTAAGAGTCAAGCCTCACTTCCACTCCCGCTTCCGTCGGCTCGGCCCCAAATTTGCACTCGAGGTATTTCGTCTTCGTTTTGCTCAACCTGAAACATTTAAACTCAAGGGCATGTCTCTAAACCTCTAGCCTCTCGTTGACGTCACGTCGTGTCTCGTCAATTAGGACTATGTCATCAGCAAATAGCATGCACTATGGCACCTCCCCCTGAATATGATGCGTTATGGCATCTATCACCAGGGCAAATAGGAAAGGGCTGAATGCATACCTTTGGTGCAACCCCGTAAGAATCGGGAAATGCTCGGAGTCGCCTCCTAATATCCTAACCCGAGTCTTATATCCATCATACATGTCTTTAATCACCCTAATATAGGCTACCTGGACCCCTTTAACCTCTAAGCATATCCATAAGACCTCCCTAGGAACCCTGTCATACGCTTTCTCTAGATCGATAAACACCATGTGGAGATCCTTCTTCTTATCCCTGTATTGTTCCACCATCCTCCTAATAAGGTGGATGGCTTCTGTGGTAGATCGCCCCAGCATGAACCCGAACTGGTTGTCTGACATAGACACCATCCTTCGCACTCTCATCTCTACCAATCTCTCCCAGACTTTCATGGTATGACTCAGTAATTTGATACCCCTATAGTTGTTACAACTCTGGATATCGCCTTTGTTCTTATACAACGGAACCATTGTACTCCACCTTCACGCTTCAGGCATCCTATTACTCTTGAATATAACATTAAACAACCCCGTAAGCCATTCCAAGCCTGCTCTACCCACACATCTCCAAAGTTCATCCAGAATTTCGTCTGGCCCGGTAGCTCTGCCTTTCCTCATCTTACGCATTGTCTCTATGACCTCATTGACCTCAATGTCCCTACAATAACTTAATTAATGGGGGTTGTCTGCATTCCTCAATTCACCTAGTACAATATCATGATCCCCTTCTTCATTTAGAAGTTTATGAAAGTAGGTCTGTCATCTCCTCTTAATATGGTCATCCCCCATCAAAACTTTGTCGTCCTCATCTTTTATGCACCTCACCTGGTCCAGATCCCGAGTCATCCTCTCTCTCACCTTAGCGAGTCGGAATAACTTCTTCTCCACGCCTTTGTTCCCTAGTTCCTCATATAGACGAGCAAAAGTTGCCGTCTTAGCCTCCGTTACTGCCATCTTTGCCTCATTCCTAGCTACCTTATATCTCTCATTGTTCGCTCTCTTCTCCTCCTAGCTAGTGCTCCCTACTAACCGCAGGTAAGCCGCCTGTTTCGCTTCCATTTTACCTTGGACAACTGCATTCCACCACCAGTCTCCTTTGTGGCCCCCGGCTCGGCCTGAAGATATCCCTAACACCTCTCTCGCCGCCTTCCTTATATAGTCCGCCATCGTCGACCACATAGTGTTTGCGTCCCCACTACTTCTCCAAGCTCCCATTGTCGATAACCTTCCTTCCAGCTCCTGAGCTTTATCCTTAGTCAAGGCACCCCACCTAATCCTCGGGCGGCCTCCTATTGACCTCTTCTTCCTCCTTATCATAATGCCAATATCCATCACCAAAAGCCTATGTTGCGTTGCAAGGGTCTCACCTGGGATAACTTTACAATCCTCGCACAACCTTCTGTCGCATCGCCTGAGAAGGAGATAGTCAATCTGAGTCCTTGCCACCAAGCTTTGGTAAGTAACCAAATGTTCCTCCCGCTTCGGAAAGCTTGAGTTCGCAATCACAAGATCGAATGCCTTGGCAAAGTCCAACAGCAAAATTCCCGCTCTGTTTCGCTCCCCGAAACCAAAACCGCCATGCACCTCAGTATAACAACCTGCAGACGACCCAATATGACCATTGAAATCTCCTCCTATGAATAACCTCTCGGTAGGCGGAATACTACAAACGATGTCATCCAACCCCTCCCAAAAGCGCCTTTTAATCTCCTCATCCAAGACTACTTGCAGCGCATACGTGCTAACGACATTTAAAGTACACTCACCCACCAGCAATTTAATAGTCATTAGTCTATCATTCACCCGCCTGACCTCTACCACCGACTCTCTAAGATTGCTATCTACCAGGATACCCACTCCATTCTTACCCCTCAGGACTCCAGAGTACCACAACTTATACCCATCCGCATTTCTCGCCCTCGATCTGACCCACCTAGTTTCCTGGACATACGTTATATTAATCTTCCTCTTCTGAAGGATTTTCGTCAACTCTTACTCGTTAGTGAACCTATGTTCCATGACCCGATTCTCAACCTATAGGATCCCTTGCCTCCTCTACCTCTCTGTCTCTCGTCCCACACCCTGACCCCGACCCCACACTCTGCCCCACCCGAGGATATGCTCTTAATCTATCATTCCAGACTACAGCCACTACACCTACGACAAATCTAAAGAAGACTCGCTAGTGCCCAACGGACAACAAATAAAACTAGAAGGAAACAAGTGACTACAAGTACACTAGTTGAATGATTGAACTATTGTGAACTAAAGTAACATCAATTTAGCTAACACCAAAAGGCAAACAGTAGAACGGGGGGTACCAACTCCCGAGAACCAAACCTATGTTGATTTGTTGTACTCGATGTAGTTGTACGCTCACGCACCGCTTCCCACCGCCCTTTGTTGACGCTCGTCCGGGTTGATCTCCTTTGCTAGTGCTCGTGCGCCTAACTTGTCTTTAACAACTTCGAGAAGTTCCTTGAAAACACAAAAAATACCACAACCCAAAAACCAAAAAGGGCTGTCACCGCTACCACTGGTGTAGCCATGACAGTAGTAGGGGAAATGTTGGGATAAAGCAGAGAACTACACCCAAAAGCCTTAAGTACCTTAAATGGTAATTAAAAACAAAAATCTTAGTCTAGAAATGGAAACCCTAATTGCCACTAATTAATATCCAAATAGCCTACAGATCCAAAAATTGAAAAGGTATATGAAAATAGATAAAATTGTGAAAATTTTCACGGAAAGAGATAAGGAAAATTGCGATTATACCCAACACAGAGGTAATTTTACATTGTAAAGAACAAAGCATATGCAATACAAATTAAATGCCACAAAAAGGATAAGAAAATGAAGTAAAGAATGGGAGAAATTAAGCTCACTTGCAAAAGAACGCGCAAAAGAGCTGATAAATGAAAAGGCAGCAATTTGATTCTCCGTTCGATAGTTGTTCGTCGCCGGTAGAAGCTACTGTTCCGACGACTAATGAGAGCGTTGAGAAAATTAGACAAAGACAACAAAATTTTTACAGAGAGAAGATCCTTATTGATAAGGTTGGAATAAGAAAATTGCTCCTCCAAGCTTGTTGCCCTGTAACAACTGTAGCAGCACACGGTGACGGCAAAGATGCAAATGCCGGCGTGGGTGTATACTGTTTAGGCAGTTTATATCAAGCCAATAATTTATCTGATTCATATATTTGTGCCTAAAATGGAGCAAGTATGGCGAAGTTGGTTTCAGAAGGACCTGAAGTGGAGATTTTGGTGCCCATTCTTGCAAGCCTCCATTATGACTTGAGAACTTGATTGCTATCCTAGTTGCTGCATTCCCCCTTCTAGCACGTTTTTGGGTTTCTCGGATTTTATGCCCACATCTAATTAAGAATTCATCAAGGAGCAATTATTCAGGAAAAAGGCAAGCTTCTCTTTTAAAAGTCAAGAAATGTCTAGCCTTTTAGAAATTTATTTATACGTTCGATATGTTTTAAGCATTCTTAAGTTGACAACAAAGTTGCAAATATTACAAGTAAAGCATGCTTTTGGACCCTAGACTACCCGGACATAAGCATAATAGTAGCTACGCACGGACTCTCGTCACCTCGTGTGTACGTAGCCCCTACAAATAGGAGAACATATCCAATTAATTTACCTATGGGGACAATTCCGTCTTACAAGGTTAGAAAGGAGACTCACCTCGCTCCGAAGCTCGATAACCGGCATTTCACGCCCTTCCGAAAACTCAAATCGATGCATAACGCTCCAAAATTAGCCAATAATTATGCAAATCTATTAATATATGCTCAATTACTCATGATAATCCAATTTATAAAAATTCCTCACCCCGATCGAAAAGTTGACAAAAATGCCCTCGGGCCCATGTGTCCGGATTCCAAAATATTTCAAAGATAAAGTTTACCCATAACCTCACGAACTCAAATATGTAATTTACTCTTTATTTCATCTCCAAATCATGGTCAAAATTTGAAAATATCAATTTTCTAGGTTTTCCCCTCAACTCCAAGTTTCTACCAATTTTCATGCTAAAGTTTATACAAAATCAATGTATTTACCTCAAAACTAACATAAACCACTTACCTCATGCTTGTTGGTGAAAATTGCACCTCAAAGTTGCTCCAAAATCGGCTCTAATGGAAGAAACGAGGTTGAAATGAACCCAACCCCCAATTTAAAAGAACCTCACTGCCTCTAGCATTTCCGCACCTGCGATCACTTGACCGCTTCTGCGGTTCCGCAGGTGCGACCCATAATCCGCTTCTGTTGCTCTCCTCCAGGCCCTCAACTTCCGCATCTACGACCTTCCTTCCGCAGGTGTGGTCCCGTTTCTGCGGCAAGATGACAACATCTGCGGTCCCAGCCTAACGCAGCCACTCCCGCTTCTGTGGCACCTGCGGCCCCTTCTACGGCTCCGCACCTGCGGCCAAGACCTCGCAGGTGCGGTTACACCAGATGACAGCAGGCTTCAGCTCTTCCTCCCAACTCCAATTCGATCCATTAACCACATGGAATCCACCCGAGGCCCCAAGACCCCGTCTAATCACACCAACCAGTCCCATAACATAATGCGGACCTGCTTGAGGCCTCAAATCATATCAAACAATGCCAAAATCACGAATCACACCCCAATTCGAGCTTTATGAGCTTTAGAACTTTAAACTTCTACATCCGACGCCAGAACCTATCAAATCACGTCTGATTGACCTCAAATTTTGCACATAAGTCATATTTAACATTACGGACCTACTCTTACTTTCGGAATCGAAATTCGACTCCGACATCAAAAAGTCCACTTCCGGTCAAACTTCCCAAAAGCCTTCAAATTTCTAACTTTGGCCAAATGACCTACAGATCTCCAAATCCACTTCCGATCGCGCTCCCAATACTAGAATCACCATACATAGCTATTCCCAAACTCAGAATCCCAAACAGATATCGATAACACTGAAATGCACTTCAACCCAAACTTAAGAAATTCTTCAAAAATGTTAACTTCTACAATAGGCACAGAAACACTCCTAGGTCATCCAAAACCTGATCTGGACTTACGACCAAGTCCAAATTCATCGTATGAACCTGTTGAAACCTTCATATCATGATTTCGAGGTCATTTACTTAAAAAAATCAATCTTAGTCAATTTTTCCAACTTCAAGCTTTTGAAATGAGAATTTTCTTTCCAAATCAACTTTGAACTTCCCGGAATTCAATTCCGACCATGCGTACAAGTCATAATGCCTAAAGTGAGGTTGCTCATGGCCTCAAATTATTGAACGGTGTGCTAGAGCTAAAAATGATCGGTCGGGTCGTTACACATTTGATCTTTGATTTGGGTTTTGATTGTTTGATTGCTAATGTTAAATGTCAATTGGAATTAACGGGGTAAAGGGGTAATAATAGAAACTTTAAAGAGGCCAAAAGAAATAAAAAAATCAGGAATTTTGAGATATTTGTGTAGGAAACATCTAAAACGTAATAAACAATTGAATTAAATCAGATTTTTGGGGTTTAAAAGGTTTAAAATCATAAGTAAAAGGGTTAGAAAATGTGAGTAAATATTTGAATGGACAGCTGTCCCAAAAGTTGTCCATTTTATGTTACACAAGATGCTATTTTCCTGATTTTTAGGGAGCTACAGAATATTCCCACACCCCTCTCTCATTCTTATTATCTTGCACTCTCACCTTCTATAAAAAGGGACTCACACTCCCTCATTCACAGAAGTGACGCACTCATATTTTTCTAAAATATAGACTGATTTCTATACAAAAAAGGCTCTCTACACTTTTGTTTGCTCTAAAAAAAACACTCACAAGGAGTTAATACACAACTAGAAAACACAAAAAGAAAAGCTGGATTTTCTCTTCATTTTCTACTGGTTTATTCCAGTCCTGTGGGGTTTCAAATCAGCTGCTTGGTTCTTTTGTTCTTGTTGATTTCCTGCTGCTGTGTTGTTTCTTCCTGTTGTTATCACCAAGTTTAGAGACTTATTTTCTGTTTTCTTCTGCTTTTTGCTACTACTGAGGTATTACTCCTGATTAAATAATGTAAATTGCAGTTTGTTTGAAGTTATGAAGGTGTTTGTTGCCCTGTCAAGTTTCAGTATTATAACTATTGCTTGGTGTTTCTTAAGTTGTGTGCTGTTTTTTTATTGTTAGAATGCACTTTTGGGTATGAGCTAACTTACTGCATGCATCATGTCAAATAGTGATTGAAATTTTGTTTAGCTGAAATTATTTGCAAATCTGCATGAAGTTACTCATCTATGCAATTTATTCTTTAGCCATGAGGTTTCTAGTCTATTACCGATTAGAATTGGAGGTTATGATAACTTACATTTGATAAGCTATTTTGTTTAAGTTGTAAAATTTTACCATTGATGGTTCTTGGGTTTGCATGTTAGCTGGAAAACCTCAAGGAGGAATACACACGTATGTTATGAGCCGCCACATCATCATGCCACGTAAGTGCCACTTGGCATATATTTTTGCCATATGGAATGGTTACATAAGTTAGAGACTAGATCTTGGTGGAATATTCTAGAACTATGGAGAATTTCTTTGGAAATGTTCTAGATATTTATACACTTGTAGGAAGGTTCTAGAGAAATATAGAGGTTTCCTTAGGAAGACCCTAGAACCGATAGAATTGTTAGGAAAGTCCTTAGAAGATTCTAGCTATGTAGAATATTCGACAGAAAGGACTTATTTGTAAATACGGAAGGACTTGTAGAACAATTTATTATTTACATACTAGCCTCTAGGTGATTAGTA